GGACACAGGACAGGGACAGGACTGATCACTGTACAGTACAGGCAGTGCGGACACAGGACAGGGACAGGACTGATGTCGAGTACAGGCAGAGTGGACACAGGACAGGGACAGGACTGATGTCGAGTACAGGCAGTGTGGACACACCTTCTCCATGGTCATCATGTCTATCCCCCAGTGGGCCAGGTGTTCGGGAAGCTTGGGGTCTAGAACCATCTCATCCTCTTCATACGAATACACATCTATTAACGAGATCCAATAACGATGATAACGACTACTTAGAAAGAGAGAGCAGGGTGTTCAGAGTGAAAGGACCTGGGCTTTGCTACTGGTTATTGACAGAAGACAGGCAAGATAGGAGAAGAGGCTGTTCAAAAAGCCCTTAAATTACTGCTTTTAATTTGTGATTCTGCTCCTGGGGCATTTTTTCTTGGTTTCCATCAATATTTGGCAACATCGGTTATTTGCACTTATTAAACTAAACTTCCTCTCAAAGGCACCAATTCGCTACTTCTAAAATAAACACACCCAAAGTGACAATGACTATAACAGCACCTGCGCATTCATAGATGAAATAAATTTAAACTGACAATCTTAAATAAAATCCAAAGACTGGGGGCGAACATCGGGCAGGGGACGTTTTAATGGTGCCAAGGCCAGAATCCTGTATGCAGGCGGCAAAAACAAACTAGGAATACAAACTGGGAAAGCGTGAGAAAAAGCTGGTGGTGAAAAAGCCCTGGGTGTCATCATTCATGGCCATGAGGCTTGAGGCACTTGAACATGAGAAATGAGATGTTGGCCGAAGGACACAGGAGGGAAGCCAGCTCACCTGCCCCGTCCGGGGTGATGGTGCCCAGCTTGACGGCCAGCGGGTAGTTAGTCTGCTGGTAGTGCAGCAGGGCGTGGTTATTGCCCCCGGAGCCGTCGAAGTACCGCCGCCCACAGAACACCTTCCCGTCCGTCAGGTTCAACCACAGGTTCTCCCGCAAGTCACAGTTCTCACAGCGCCAGCCACTGACCCAGAGAA